CTGAAGAGAACAACACAGAAGAAGAAAACTTTATTTTGGCTCACAGTTTCAGAGGTTCAGTCCATGGTGTGCTGACTCCATAGTTCTGGGCCCAAGGTGAGACAGAACATTATGGCAGAAGGAAAGTGGCTCAAGACATGACAGCCAGGAAACTGAGAGAGAACTTATTGTACCAAGACAGGGTCATGTCACTGTCCAATGGCTATATGCAAAGGGGACACAGGTCCCTTCTGAGTCAATGCATTTTAAATGCAGCACAAGACTCCAGGGTCCTCTTTCTCTGCAAAATTAACCAAGGATGCCTCTTGTTTCCGATGGTGCAAATGAGTTGCCATGTAGGGAAGAGTTGCTAAATTACGTGGACCTGCAGAGAACTTGAATTTATCATCGTTTCTGTGATGTTTATTACAAAAGCACAACATAGCACATCCTCACTAATATAAAAAGATGGTAAGAAATGATCACACTTTCTACCCACAGTGTCTTTATTTCCTTATAAGTGTTCTAATTATTTCTAAGTGTGTTTTATTGATTGTTAGATATTTAACTTTGTTTTTTGTTTGTTTTGTGTGTGTGTGTATTATTCTTTTTAACTAGATTTCTTCTTGCCCCAACCAATGATCTTATAATAAATATAATAACCACTTCATTGAGTTAATGTAACAAATAAAACAGACTACCAAAATTATTTTATTCTTTTCTTCCTTTTCTGCTATCTCCTTTCCTTCCTTAATTTTCTCTCCTTTTTTTTTTTTTTTTTTGGTGTTGTTGTTTTTTTTGTCCTTACCTTTTGCAAGCAATGACTACTTAATGACTACCACAGGTTATCTTTCATTTGATTACAAATAATCACTAGTGTGCTAAAATGATAGGCTTCTCTAAATCTTCTCTATCTTCTCCCTTTCCCCTTTCCTCCCATTTCAGTGAACCCCTGCTGTCATCCAGAATTACACCTTTTGTTCTTTTTCTTCTTCTTCCAATGGATCCAGGGACTCAGCCTTACAATTTTTGAGATGTTGGGAGTGAGAGATTTCATCATTCAGAGTCTCCTTCTACATTTCTAGGCTACATGGTGGGACCCAATACCCCAAACTCTCTTTATTGCTTACTGCATAGAAGCCCCATTTCTATAAAAGTTCTACTGTTGCCATAATCTCAAGCAGTAAGAAGATCTCAAAAGCTTTTGAACCAGGGAAAATCAGAGAGCCTTAAGCTCATAGTGTCAAACTGCATTCCTGCTTCCCCCTCTAAAGCGATAATTGGTCCAAAAGAACAAGATTCAAAATGCACTGAAAATGATAAAGCAGAAGCAAATCTGAAGCTAGTAAACCTTGCCAGCACCGTGTAGCAGGAATTACATGTGAACAGCTGAGACTGGGTAATGGTGTTTATTTACTTGCATTACTCCAGCCACAGCTACTAAGGTCATCCTTTATGCTTACATTTATCCAGTTCCTGTTTTTTCCTCTGTGTCTCCAGTTTTGAGTCTTAGACTCAACTCTTGCTCCTATCAGCAGATTGTACTTCTTGACTTTACTCTTCCAAGTCCTCTGTTTGGCATGTCTGTTTGGGGACATTTCCTTTGGCTCTGTGTATTCTAGGTCAATCCTCAAAAGTCTGCCTTAGCTCTGACCTTAGCACACTAGCCCAAGGTGGAATTGGGCACATATGAATGGATTACTATAAAAACCTAATAGTGAACAAAATGAAATGTTTAACCAAAAGGCCATGCACGGTATGCTAAGAGATGGCTAGCACTGACTCTTGAGGTTAATTGTTAGATATTCAAGAATGTTGAATGTCAGTTGTTAAACATAGCCATTACTAAAATTCAAACCATTTAAACTTATAATTAATTAAACCATATTAAAACAAAAGAAATACATATGCAAAACTCAACACTTCTAACTACTAGATGCTTACTATTTTCTATTCTCTTAGGATTATCTGCATCTAATCTATCTGCATGATGGGAAGGCTGTGTAATGATGCACAATTGAACATATTTTCCCAAACTTGCATGAGTGTTGTTGGCCACAGTGGGAGTATTTATACTATGAAAATTAGCAAATCCTACAGATGACAATCCCACCACCCACATACAGCCAGCTGCTAAACACCTAATAACATCCTTTAAAAGGATAGCAATGTCTTCCAGATGGTTAATGAAGACAAAGATGCGGGGTAAAGAGAATATTTATAGTACTTTCCTCAAATTTATTCTCAAACTGTTCCTTTCCTAACCAGGACCTTAAGCTACCCAGTCACAGAGCTTGTATGTTTCCTAGACCTCAGCTACAGAAATGGGCCTTTATTTTCTTCAGTCAAGTGGTTTATCAAAAGTGTTTGACCATAGTAAATCTAAGGATGGATTCGTGATCTAAATCAGGCCAATTGTGGGCACTGAGTATGATTCAAGTTGCTTGAAATTGAACTGTCAGGAAATTCAACCTGTCATTCCTGCTGGTCATGAATAAGGGAGCATGTAGCCTCCAAGGACACTGATAATCATCTTGGAACCACAAATGAAAGAGACTGCCCAAGAATGATTATAAGCTGAGGAAGCAGAACCAAGAAATGGCAAAAGAACTAAATTCTGGACCAGGACTTTGTCTGAAAATCTAATCTCAGGCTTTATGTGAGTCAATGAATTTCCCTTTTCCTCTAATCGGAGTAAACTTTGCTTTCATTTACTTATACATGACATGGCAGTTGTATCTTTAAATGAGGTAATTGCAGAAAGAAAGTCAATACACTTAGTTCTTTTCTTCTCAGGACTTTATGTGTCTATATGCCTGACTCTCCAACCAGTAGATTTTTTTTTTTTTTTGCACACCATTATATCTTTAGCCAAATTAACAATGCACCCTGTAAGTAGGAAGTAAGTAGTAAGCGCTTAAAATAAGTTTACTTAATTGAATTGGTTAGTAAATCTTGGGGGAATTGTGCAAGAATGGAGTGAATCAGAGTAAATTCCTCCTCTCTTCTTTGGCCAAACAGCCAATTTGAATCCATCTGTTGTCACTTGTGAATGTCCCAGGGAAAAAGGAATGAAGCAATGCAACTTGTGAGTCCAACAGTTCAGTCTGCAAACTAGAAGAGGTTGTAGTATTTTGCTAGGAAGGGTGAAAATTAGCTGTAGTTTTCTAGTTGGCAAAAACACTAAGAAAACTCCTTTGGTCTATGTTTGCATGATGCTAAGTATCTGAATAAGAATTAAAATGTGCAGTCAACATGCTTCAAAAAAATCTATGCATATGACAGCACTTTGAAAAAATATCCAGTTACTTAACTGGAATTCCCTTGTTTATCCAGGAGTCCAGGTGGCTTAGGTCAACAAAAGCAATGACAATGAGAGGGATAATCTCAGAATTGTGTGGCACTGAGTTTCTCAATGAAACCTGTTCTTTATGATTGGAGGAGGGAGAGAGATAGGGAACACTGGCCAATCAACATGAATCATTCCATTACATTTCAAAAAAGAAATAGATGTGCTGCTTCTCTTTCTCACCTATTCCCTGTTTTGTTTTGTTTTTCTACAGCCATACCACTGTCTATCATATAAACATTGTATTTATTTATATTACACTGATTGTTTCTCCATCTCCCATAATGAAAGCTCTAGGAGGACAATTATCTGTCTCTGCTTTTGTTCACTGCTCCATTCCCAGTACCTAAAATAGAATCTGGCACAAAATAAATGCTAAAGAAACATTTATTGAGCAAATAAATGGCCTGTAAAATAGACATTTGCTAGTAAATTCACAAACAAGAAACTAACTGCCTCATGAAAAAAGTAAGGTTTTCTTCCAAATGAAATTAAAAGACTCTGTACCTTAATAGTTCAACTAGTCTGTATGACTATAAACAATTTGTTTAACATCCTACCCTTTCTTATTTCCTTTTGGAAAATGAAGACAACTATGCCAACCCTATATTCTCCAAAAGCTTCAAAGTACTTCAGAAGAGGCAATAGCTGTAAAGTCTTAGGTTAAAGAATCAGTTCAGGAGCTCAGTATGGATGGTTTTCCATAAAAGTTAAATAAAGATCTCAGTTGTCCTTTTACGTATTGAATTGGAAAAATTCCATTTGCAGGGTTTTTTTGTCATATGCCTATGATCAATGGTGTATCAATCACTTTTCTAGTCCCATTGCTCTGAAAGTTTTGTTTTTATAAATTTTAACTAAGCATTTGTAAGCAAAAATGCCATTTCCAACAGTTCAAATTTGTTTTCAAAGGTAATTGTTTTAAAGTTGAAAATAGATGTACTCCACAAATCCAACCTGATATTTATTTAAACTTACCAAATGATATTTCTCCGGAGTATTTTCATAGCGTACTTCCCTGCAGTATGTTAATAGCAAAACTCTCTTTTTGTTTTAGAAATTCTACTCTTTCTCTTCTCATTTCCCCCTTCAAGCTGAATTCTGTTTTTCAGGATGTCTCCTTCCAATCTTGAAAAAGAGACCCTGTACCTTTAATAACAGAGACCTGGTGAGAGGTTTCTTTCCAAACTTGTTCCCTGGCTTCCAAGTGACGAAACCAGCTGTAATTTGAGAGCCCAGAGATCCTTAGGATATCTTTAGCCAAAGGAAAAGCTCCCTCCGTATTCCCACCCAGTCCAGAAGTTGAAAGTGTCAGAAAGCAAGAGCTTCTCTCTCTAGCTGCACGCTCCATCTCCCAGGAGCAAGGGGCAACGGAGCCAGCGACGTGCAGTGCTCTGCAGGAGGCCTTCTCCCCTCCGCCCTGTGATCCCGTCTGGGCTGCAAGAGAGCTGGAGCTCCAGCCACTGAGCAAACGCAGAGCGAGGTGCACCCTGCGCTGCTGCGGGCCAGTGCTACCCAGGCGCTGTCGCCCACAGCCACATGAAGCCTGCTGGGGTGCAGGGGCCACAGTGCAGCCAGCCGACGGAGACGGAGGAGGAGGCTGTCTCAGCAAGGCACTGACTCCCCAGGGGACCCCTTTCCTTGTTCCTGGACAAAAGCGTCTTCTCCTGGGGTCCCTGGTCATCCTGAATCTTCAGAATGATGGTCCTGAAGTTCCTCTGGATGGGTTTCCTCTGCCACCTGTGTCAGGGCTACTTTGACGGCCCTCTCTACCCAGAAATGTCCAATGGGACTCTGCACCACTACTTCGTGCCCGACGGGGACTATGAGGAGAACGATGACCCCGAGAAGTGCCAGCTCCTTTTCAGGGTGAGTGACCGTCGGCGCTGCTCCCAAGGGGAAGGGACCCAGGCCAGTCGCTTGATGAGTCTCACCCTTCGAGAGGAGTTCACGGTGCTGGGCCGCCAGGTGGAGGATGCTGGGCGCGTCTTGGAGGGCATCAGCAAGAGCATCTCCTACGACCTGGATGGGGAAGAGAGTTATGGCAAGTACCTGCGGCGGGAGTCCCACCAGATTGGGGATGCCTACTCCAACTCCGACAAGTCCCTCACTGAGCTGGAAAGCAAATTCAAGCAGGGCCAGGAACAGGACAGCCTGCAGGAGARTCGGCTCAACGAGGACTTCCTGGGGATGCTGGTCCACACCAAGTCCCTGCTGAAAGAAACGCTGGACATCTCCACAGGGCTTAGGGACAAATACGAGCTGCTGGCCCTCACCATCAGGAGCCACGGGACTCGGCTAGGTCGGCTGAAAAACGATTATCTTAAAGTATGAGGTGGAAATGCCAGAGAGAGCAATYAAATCAGCTCCTTGGTGGAGGGTTGGGGGATGGATGAGGGGGCTACATTTTTCCTTACTCTTATAATATTTTATATCCAGATTTGCACTTTGAGAATGAATCTGAAATCATCTTTAAAAAAAGAAAGAAAGGGTTGGAAGGTGAAGTGGTTGTTTTAATTCTGTACATTATTTATGTGATTGTTGCAGATTTATCTRTCCGTGGGAAAGAAGGATTGAAAGCAATGCCCCTCTTTCCTAGTGGGCTTTAAAATAACTCTGCAGAGATATTTGTTTCAGCCACATCCAAAAGGATACAGGCTATGCAGGAGAGACTGATTAAACTTCCCCTTCCTGGAGATTATGGGGATATACCCAAGGAGCACAGTGACAAGCTCCTTTCACCTTCAGCTTTCTCTCTTGGGCTTTACAAACAAAGTGACTGGTTTTCAAATGGGGTCCAAGGGGTTGCTCTTTATGCCTGCCAATCCATGGAAGTTGCTTGCTTCTTCTGCTTTTCTGTCTTATTTATTAACCATGGTCTGTGAGTTGTTTTTGGTTTTGCTTTTTTTTTTTGTATGCATATTGTTGGGAAACTATGTGCAAATCATCCTTTATAGGAAGATGCTTGCAAGTTTCCTCTGTGGGTATATGTAAGTTTCAGCAGCAACATTGAAGAAGTCTAAACTTTGTGGTAGTTGCCCTCTCATGTTGATATGCTGATTTGTTATGTCTCATTGTGTGTCTATGCTTTGTCATCAGTGCAAGAGTCAATTACAAAAAAGTASTTTGAACACCCCACGCAGAAGCCTATGATTGAAGTTGTCAATGTATTTTTTTCTCATTCAGGGGTTTTGCTTCTCTTTGCCTATTAGAAACTTGTACTTCAAGGAGTGGGGGGGGAGGGGATTCTAATTCTAATAACTCCTTAGCTAAGTTTTATTATTCAGCCAATAAATGTGTTTTCACATAATACTGGCTTATTTTCTAATTTATATCTGTAGATTTCATATTTCAAAGAGAGGCCCATGCAAAGGAGAGAGGATGGGATTTAAGCCAGTTTACTTAGCGTGCATGATAAAGAAGGAAGAAGGAGAGCTATGCATTTAGCAATTCTCCCCTCCCTGCTAACCCTTACCATCCTTGTGAGGAAAAAAAAAAAAAAAAAAAAAAAACCAGCTTGTGCCAGAACTTTAAATTTAATCTCTGCCGCTCTACTTAAAAACTCATTTTCTCCAACTTCTCCCATGACTCAATTGGAATAGTACATAAAGAAGCTCATACTTTATTCACCCTCATTGTGCAGAGGGAGCATTTTATTTTAATTTGCTAGAACCATCGTAGATGCTTAATTATTTCAAAGCTGAGTCTATGTTATTTAATCAACAGCTTTAAAAGATGAAAATTTACTTTATTTCATATCTTCCTCTGGCCAATCCTCACTATCACCATAAATATGCTTCTCTCCCCAACCCTCTCTGTCATTCACACATGCATACACTTACAGGAAAATAAATAAATGTTCCTGTTCATCTGTTGAGTAGAAAGTCATTTATTTTTCTCTCATGTGAGGAAACCAGTTTCTATGACCAGTTTTGAACTATTTCTATGAAGTTCCRATATCTTCCTACTACAGTAGGGGAAACTGAGGCCTCAAAAGGGTAATTGAGTGAACCCCACTCAGCCCTAAGAGCCCCAGGACTCCTAGATTTAATTATAGGACTTTCTTAGACTGTTCTTCCTCAAGGATACTGAAAGAGAAGAGAAAGTGGCTGGAGCCTAAATCCTTTGCTTACCTATTTTATTAAATACAATAGAATAACTTATAGAACAGCACTTAAAATCCTCATTTATAATTTCTTTTCATCATTCAGGGCCTTTAGCTGCCTTGCAGATTTGTGTGGGGGAAGGAGTTCAATGATCAYCACTTAGAAGGGCTTCCTTTTTATTCTATAAGGAAAAAAAATCGGGGAAAAAAAAAAACAGCAAGGGCAAAGATGATATTTGGTAGTTACAGTTCCTAGATTGAAGACAGCATCCTTTCCTGTCTCAAAATTGTCTCAAAAACACTTCAAGGTACTCAGACATATAATTCCCAGATATATCAAATGCCATCTTTTTTATTTTCCCAACTTTAATATGAAGATTTTGTACATGTGATAGGGCTGAAAAACTGGTTTCTTTGTGTGTGCTAATTCAATCAATCAGTAACGGTTGCATAGAATATTATATTAAGAAGAATTCAAAAAGCACAGAAGTAAAGAATGCTGTCCCCAATTAGGGATGTCTTCCCTGGGTGCAGGAAGGGGARTGGCCACACATCTGCTACAAATTTGAAAACCCTGAAATAGATTATGTATGAGGTTCTTTCCAGTGCTAGCCTTTTATGATTCCTACAAAACCAGAGTATCCAGCATTGAATTACTCCATTCAAGGCTAGATGTGCATATTGCCAGTAATCCCTCAGAGTCTTATGTAAATGGTCCAGAGGGTAAATAGGAGCTTCAAGGTGCTGGGAGGGAGCTGGGGCTGCCCCAACAGCCAGCCCAGAGGCTGGCAGCACAAGGCTTTTCTAACCCTCTGATGGTGGAGAGCCAGCCCACKRAGATCTTTCCTCTCCACTTCCTCATTATYCTCATTAGTCTTCCTTACTCAAGCAGTGACACATTCTCTATTACAGCAGTGGTCTTTTACTTCTCAGAYCATGAAACATCTAGAGTCTGAACAAAACCACATGCTCTCTTCCATGAGAAATCTACTCACAAACACATCTATATAATTTGGGCTCTCACCTGTTTTCATAAATATTTGTTGATCTCTTAATCTCCATCAGATGCTCATCTCCGTAGATGTAGATGTAGGTGATTTGGAGATGTTAAACGTCTTGGGACTCTATCTGTGGACCCAAAGTTTAATAGAGCCTCTTAAAGTTTTATTTGGAGCAGAAGGCAATTGTTCCTGTTGTGATAGTTATTACCAAACACAGTAACAACAAATTTTTACTGGTATGTCAATATAGTGGTAAGGCCCAGTGCTAAGAACTTTGCCTGAGTTAATTCCCTTAATTCTGATAGCAAACTGTATGAGGAATTTTATAAGAGACARTAATACATTTTAAGCACTTTTTTATAACAGTGCCCAAGATAGAGTGGATCCTCAATAAATGTTAGTTGTTATTACTGCTTTTATTATTGTCATTATTTTTTTGGCAGTGGCCCAGAAGTCCTAGGCACTTTCAACAAGGTTAAAACTGTGCAATGTCTTATGTACTTCATTGATGCTTATTTAGAGTGACATGTGATCAAATAAAAAAAGAATATAGAGGATAGGGGTCCACTGGGGCCTCTAGCCATCTGTTCCAAATGCTGTCTCTATGGTTCAGGTGCCCAAAACTRTCTTTCCRTCAGAAGATGATTGGATTCTGTGCTTATATAATAATTCATTGATAATTTGTGAGATGYATTATTTTTGCACCACTAGTTCTCACTCTCTCAATCTGACCATGTGAGGAAGCATTTGGTAGGTATTTATCTAACTGGAGCTTGTTGGTGAAAGACAAAGGACTAGTTTGGCCTCTGCAAGATCAAAGCCTGTCCCATGGATTTCACCAGAATCCTCCAGAAGTCAACAGGTATGTTATGCATGGCAATACAAAGAAGTTGCTCAACAGTTCACATATTTTCCATTGTTTTTTAAACACCTGTATATAATTCTGCTAGCAAAACAGGCTCAAAACTTTCTGACAAAGCCTTAACACTTAGACTATAAACTACTTTAATAATTTATGTAAAGAGCTTCAGGGCATTTTTTCAGAGGATGATTATTAAAATCGTCTTAATATGGAATATTATTTGGGTAGGAAATAGGACCACTAAATGTGTGGTTTACACAGGCTTAATATAAGAAGGAAAATATTTGGAGGCCTAAAGTTTTGATTAGAAATAGAATACAAAAATATTTAACAATAATTCACTACTATATGGAATTGGATACTATAAAGCAAYTTAGTAATTTTTAATTTGGACTGGTCTTTAATGAATACAATTTCTCAAGTTTGGGTCCCAGCCGATATGCCATTCATCAAATAGTTTTTTGTGCGCCACCATACAAGATACCCAGGAAAGATATATAGATGTGTAACCTAAACAAAGATTTAGGATAGCAAGGTGGAGAATGACAAGCCTCTATGGGACTTCAGCAGGAGTCTAATTTAGAATTGTTTGGAAAATGCAAATCAGTGTTCTGTAAAATAAGGATTTGGCATAATCACACATTCAAGAGATGTAGAGGTTTCAGTATTGCCGTCCATGTTGTTTTTCATCTTTTAATAACTTTTCTTCTGAATATAAAGCCTTAACTTCTGGGTGTTGATAGCATGGAAAAGATAATGAGCACAAAGAAAACAAACTCATTCATACTCTCAAACTCCTTCTGCCGCACACCCACTATCTGTTTTCTTTCTGCTCTATTCATGCATCTTTATGTGTATCTTTTTCTTTAGGAAAAAGAAATGATATGGTAAGAACACATTGCTTGTTGTCAATGTTTACTGTAGTCATTAAATATGTTTAACAACAAAAATCCTTTCAAAAGGCTTAGTTGTATCCACAAGGCTTCAAGAGTCAGAAGTTCTGGGTGCTAGATCTTTTCCACAATCTATCAGCTGTGCAACTTTGAACAAATATCTTAGATGTTCTGACATCCAGTGACTTGTTTGCAAAATGAAGAGAAAAATAGCTAGCATTTATTGAAGAAGCATGACTCAAAGCATTTTCTGTAAGTCATCTTACAAAAATCTTCCCAGGATTTCATTTCAGGTAGACATTATATTTTTATGTTTAAAGAATATAARTACACACAATATTGGGTTTTGTTGTGATTTGTCTAAGATTTCACACTTGGCTAAGAGTCAAGATTTAAGCACAGGTAGTCTGACCCCTCTACCCCCACGATAACATCTAAATGGTGCTTTCTCTCTCTTAAGGCAGGAGATTGAACCCATCATTTGTTAACTCATTTTCTATTCTAGGATCTATGATAAATTACCTATGAAATGAAAATTTCCCTTATATGAATTTCTTTTTTTTAGTATTTTTTTAGTTGTAGTTGGACACAATATCTTTATTTTATTTATTGTTATGTGGTGCTGAGGATCGAACCCAGCACCTCGGCACCTCGAACGTGCTAGGCGAGTGCTCTACCGCTGAGCCACAACTCTAGCCTCTTATATGAATTTCTTAACTGAAAAAATTTCAAATCCAAGTTCTCTCAGAGAGAAAATTTTTCTTTCTCTGCATGATTTTATTTTGGGAATTATAAATTCCTTATACCTGCATGTGCCACTCTATGGTTCTTTGCCTAGGAACAGCTGGCTTCATGTCAAATCTTACTTTTTCTGAGCACTTTCACATGGATTGTCATGTTTGACCATGAGAAAATTTTTATAGATACTGAACTGGCAAGGACCATTCATAGAATTCACCATCTGGGAGATAGTGGCCYAATATTTGTTTACAGCTAGTAAATTATTCTGTCAGTACTTCCTAGACTCACATATAAAGATTTCTCATCCAGGCAGGTTTTCCAAGCTCAAAAATATAATGCTAGCCAGTGCTATGTACTATTTTGGATTAGGTGGTTTTAAAAGACCTCTCTGAAAAACTAGGAAGGATATTTGAACAGAACCTTAAATCTTGAGTAGAAGCCMAAAATGTAAATGTCAGAGCAAAAGAGTGTTCCTGGTAAATGAACAGTGAGTGCAAAGTCCTCCAAGCTGAGGAAAATTTATGTGGGAAAAAGAAAAGAAAGGAAAAAAGGCAATGAGACCATAGCAGAACAAGTCAGAAAAACAGTGAAAGACTTTGAGTAGAGGAGAACTGAGGGTTAGGTAATAGAATAATTGAATGGCCACAATAATAAATTTGGAAATTATCCCAGTTTCTAGGGGAAGGCAATGGGGAATCTAAATAGAGAAAGGGAAGATCTGATTTACAGAAAAAGACTACTATAAAAGGAGATCAGACTGCAGGGCAGCAAAGTAGAAGCAGAAAGGCACTTAGGTAGTTACTAGGCCACATCAATTACAGAGAATGAAGGCTCTAAGGGGGTAGTGTTGAAAACAGCAGTAACTTGTCTTCATCCTGTACAAATATTTCCTTTTTGTCTCAGAAAAACA